CTTTATGTTACAGTTTTTTGGATATATGTACTAGTTCACCAACCAAAATGAGCTGACTCATTTTATAGTTCACCAATAGAAGGGTTAACCAATCAGAAATCTCGAAATATTCAATCCGACGTGTATAAAGGCAGCCATTTTGTTTTTTCTCCCAAAATATCTTCACTGCCAACCTCTGATATTGAACACATTACGGATTCACTGGATTCTATATTCAGAGACTACGGCAAACATGGTTAACACTTTATGTGTATTTAAGAACTTGACTAACTTTTAAGTTAATGTTTTGTTTCTGTAACAACTTATGGTGTTCGGCGAAACTAACTCTAGCCCAACCTATTTTATATGAAATTTACTTATCATCTATACTAAATGTATTATACCTGCTCCATACATTGCACTGCTGGAAAATTATTCAATTATTCTTTTTGAGAGAAATTTAAGAACTAAGATCCTCTGCCCGCATTTTCATGCGTTAGAAATTTTTGGCAACACGCTGACCCACATTGAAATCCTCACAGTATTTAATATTGTTAAAGTGATTGCTAACATTTTTGATCAAAATCAAAGCATCAGAAAATTGACATTACATTTGAATAATTGAAGATCATAGCTATCAGGGAAGCAAGTAAGAGGAAGGGAATTCCTCTCTCGGGAAGTGCGGGAGAAGAAGCTGTTGGAGTAGAAGTGGCGGTTACATTTAACTATTTAGTATTGTTATTGCTAACATTTTTGGCAAGATTTACGATCTCTACGTTTCGTTCAATATCGCAAACAAATCGATTAAATTTAAATTAGCTGATTTCTTTGGGAAAATACTTTCACAACAACTCTACTTCACGGTTTTTAGATACCCTAGTAAAATCATCTATACTTTGTGCCCCCTTACTTGTTTGCACTTCTCCCCAAAATTTGGACTAAATCGGTCAATATATAGAAGTTGTGACGGACGGACTAACAGAAGTCAGCGAATTTTATATATAGAAAATGTCATTGTTTACGGTTATGAATCATTTCAGTGCTTTCCGTCTGTGGAAATGGTAAATATATCCAAAGTATTTCTTCAGAAGTATGCTGAACACTAGCCTTCTGGATTAATGCGTTGGTTCGTGGCATTTCACAGTAGTTTAGAATTCAATACTTTCTTTCCAATCACGCTTTAATTACAGTTTCAGTTAGAAATACAGTTGTGACAGAATCTAGAATAAGTACTTTTTATATACACAGGCTTATATAATATTAGATTCGCGCGAAGTTATATCGATATCACGCAGAAAAAAAGGCGGTTATATTAAAATAATCTTGTTTTCCCTGCAAAGAATATCATAATATTCCCAGCGCCAAACGACATTAATTAACTCTCCCCTTTTTGAAAATCATACTCTGTCCTCATGTTGTCCTCCATACTAATCTTAGCCTACCCACGTTTTCTCTCATCGATGTTCAAGATTTATATTCGCATAACTTGATGTAATAACATGCAAACGAGTAAGAAAAACGCTTGCCTATTTGTAGTGGTTCTACAACAGTATGATGCATAGAAGACATTAGTCATCTAGCTTGCTTGAGCTCCTAGGCTTACTGACACGTTAAGTGCGGATGGTGGAATTTTCCGTCATTTTAAATATTTGGCTCAAATTCACATGAGGGATTTTATTCTGCAGATAATCGATTGAGGTTTTAAATTTGAATTCGTGACAGAAGTTAGATTGCGAGAATGGGTAAAAAATACCCTCGTAGACTGATTTAAAAAAAATTAAAGCAAGAGGATTAGTGAAGAACATTCTTTGTACACCTACTTAGACAAATTGATCTTGAACCAGACTTAGCTAAGCTTATTAAATATCGAAAAACTAATTTGATGGTGGCAGGAAACGTGGGTAATAGGAGAAGGAAGGGGAGAAAGAAAACGAGGAAAGAGAGGAACAAAGGGAAAAAGCAGAAGGAGGTGGAAGAAAAAGAAAAAGAACGAGGTGAAAAGCAAAGACAGTGAGAAACAAAGGTTAAAAAAGAAGAAAGAGAGGGAGAAGCATAGAATGAAAAAAAGAAATAGAAGGAGAAGCAAAGGATAAAAAAGAAGAAAGAGAGGGAGAAGCAAAGGATAAAAAAGAAGAAAGAGAGGGAGAAGCAGAGGATAAAAAAGAAGAAAGAGAGGGAGAAGCAAAGGATAAAAAAGAAGAAAGAGAAGGAGAAGGAAAGATAAAAAAAAGAAGAAAGAGAGGGAGAAGCAAAGGATAAAAAAAGAAGAAAGAGAGGGAGAAGCAAAGGATAAAAAAAAGAAGAAAGAGAGGGAGAAGCAAAGGATGAAAAGAAGAAAGAGAAGGAGAAGCAAAGGATGAAAAAAGAAGAAAGAGAGGAGAAGCAAAAGGATAAAAAGAAGAAAGAGAAGGAGAAGCAGAGGAAAAAAAGAAGAAAGAGAAGGAGAAGAAAAGGATGAAAAGAAGAAAGAGAAGGAGAAGCAAAGGATGAAAAGAAGAAAGAGAGGGAGAAGAAAAGGATGAAAAAGAAGAAAGAGAAGGAGAAGCAAAGGATGAAAAAGAAGAAAGAGAAGGAGAAGAAAAGGATGAAAAAGAATAAAGAGAGGGAGAAGCAAAGGATGAAAAAGAAGAAAGAGAAGGAGAAGCAGAGGCTAAAAATGAAGAAAGAGAAGGAGAAGCAAAGGATGAAAAAGAAGAAAGAGAGGGAGAAGCAAAGGATGAAAAAGAAGAAAGAGAGAGGGAAGCAAACGATGAAAAAGAAGAAAGAGAAGGAGAAGCAGAGGCTAAAAAAGAAGAAAGAGAAGGAAAAGCAAATGATGAAAAAGAAGAAAGAGAAGGAGAAGCAGAGGCTAAAAAAGAAGAAAGAGAAGGAGAAGCAAACGATGAAAAAGAAGAAAGAGAGGGTGAAGCAAAGGATGAAAAAGAAGAAAGAGAGGGGGAAGCAAACGATGAAAAAGAAGAAAGAGAAGGAGAAGCAAAGGATGAAAAAGAAGAAAGAGAAGGAGAAGCAAATGATGAAAAAGAATAAAGAGAGGGGGAAGCAAACGATGAAAAAGAAGAAAGAGAAGGAGAAGCAGAGGCTAAAAAAGAAGAAAGAGAAGGAGAAGCAAAGGATGAAAAAGAAGAAAGAGAGGGGGAAGCAAACGATGAAAAAGAAGAAAGAGAAGGAGAAGCAAATGATGAAAAAGAAGAAAGAGAAGGAGAAGCAAAGGATGAAAAAGAAGAAAGAGAGGGGGAAGCAAACGATGAAAAAGAAGAAAGAGAAGGAGAAGCAGAGGCTAAAAAAGAAGAAAGAGAAGGAGAAGCAAAGGATGAAAAAGAAGAAAGAGAAGGAGAAGCAAAGGATGAAAAAGAAGAAAGAGAGGGGGAAGCAAAGGATGAAAAAGAAGAAAGAGAAGGAGAAGCAAAGGATGAAAAAGAAGAAAGAGAAGGAGAAGCAAATGATGAAAAAGGAGAAAGAGAGGGGGAAGCAAAGGATGAAAAAGAAGAAAGAGAGGGGGAAGCAAAGGATGAAAAAGAAGAAAGAGAAGGAGAAGCAGATGCTAAAAAAGAAGAAAGAGAAGGAGAAGCAAAGGATATAAAAGAAGAAAGAGAAGGAGAAGCAGAGGCTAAAAAAGAAGAAAGAGAAGGAGAAGCAAAGGATGAAAAAGAAGCAAGAGAGGGAGAAGCAAAGGATGAAAAAGAAGAAAGAGAGGGGGAAGAAAACGATGAAAAAGAAGAAAGAGAAGGAGAAGCAGAGGCTAAAAAAGAAGAAAGAGAAGGAAAAGCAAAGGATGAAAAAGAAGAAAGAGAAGGAGAAACAGAGGCTAAAAAAGAAGAAAGAGAAGGAGAAGCAAACGATGAAAAAGAAGAAAGAGAGGGTGAAGCAAAGGATGAAAAAGAAGAAAGAGAGGGGGAAGCCAACGATGAAAAAGAAGAAAGAGAAGGAGAAGCAAAGGATGAAAAAGAAGAAAGAGAAGGAGAAGCAAAGGATGAAAAAGAATAAAGAGAGGGGGAAGGATGAAAAGAAGAAAAGAAAAAAGAAGAAAAAGAAGAAGGAGAAGGAGAAGGCTGAAAAAGAAGAAAGAGAAGGAGAAGCAAAGGATGAAAAGAAGAAAGAGAAGGAGAAGCAAAGGATGAAAAAAGAAGAAAGAGAAGGAGAAGCAAAGGATGAAAAAGAAGAAAAGAGAAGGAGAAGCAAAAGGATGAAAAGAAGAAAGAGAGGGAGAAGAAAGAAGAAACGATGAAAAGAAGAAAGAGAAGGAGAAGCAAAGGATGAAAGAGAAGAAAAAGAAGGAGAAAAGGAGAAGGAAAAGAAGAGAAGAAAGGAGAAGGATGAAAAAGAAGAAAAAAGAAGAAAGGAGAGGAGGCAAAGGATGAAAAAAGAAAGTAGGAAAGAAGAAGAAGAAGAAAAGGATGAAAAGAAGAAAGAGAGGGGAGAAACAAAGGATGAAAAAGAAGAAAGAGAGGGAGAAGCAAAAAGGATGAAAAGAAGAAAGAGAAGGAGAAGAAAAGGATGAAAAGAAGAAAGAGAGGGGGAAGCAAAGGAATGAAAAAGAAGAAAGAGAAGGAGAAGCAAAGGAGAAAAAAAGAAAAAGAGGGGAAGCAAAGGATGAAAAAGAAGAAAGAGGAGGGGAAGCAAAGAAGAAAAAAGAAGAAGAAAGAGAAGGAGAAGAAAAAGGAAGAAAAAGAAGAAAGAAGAAGAAGAAGCAAAGGATGAAAAAAAAGAAAGAGAGGGAGAAGCAAAGGATGAAAAAGAAGAAAAGAAGGGAGAAGAAAGGATGAAAAAGAAGAAAGAGAAGGAGAAGAAAAGGATGAAAAAGAAGAAAGAGAAGGGAGAAGCAAAGGATGAAAAGAAGAAAGAGAAGGAGAAGCAGAAAAGGATGAAAAAGAAGAAAGAGAAGGGGAAGGAGAAAAAGAAGAAAAAAGGAAGGGAGAAGAAGAAGAGGAGAAGCAAAGGATGAAAAAGAAGAAAGAGGGGAAGCAAAGGATGAAAAGAAGAAAGAGAAGGAGAAGCAAGGATGAAAAAAGAAGAAAGAGAGGCTAAAAAAGGAAGAAAAGGATGAAAAAGAAGAAAGAAGAGGGAGAAGCAAAGGATGAAAAAGAAAAAAGAGAAGGAGAAGAAGAAGAAAAAGAAGAAAAGAAGAAGAAGAAGAAGAAGAAGAAGAAGAAAAAGAAGAAAGAGAGGAGAAGAAAGAAGAAAAAGAAAAGAAAAAGAAGAAGAAAAAAAGAAAAAAGAAGAGGAAAGAGGAGGAGAAGCAAAGGAAGAAATGAAAAAGAAGAAAGAGAAGGAGAAGGAAAGGATGAAAAAGAAGAAAGAGAAGGAGAAGCAGAGGACGAAAAAAGAAGAAAGAGAAGGAGAAGAAAAAAAATGAAAAAAGAAGAAAGAGAAGGAAGAAGAAAAGAGATGAAAAAAGAAGAAAGAGAGAGGGAAAGAAACGATGAAAAAAGAAGAAAGAGAAGGGAGAAGCAGAGGAAAAAAAAGAAGAAAGAGAGGAGAAGAAAAAGGATGAAAAAGAAGAAAAGAAGGAGAAGAAAAGGATGAAAAGAAGAAAGAGAAGAGGGAGAAGAAGCAAAGGATGAAAAAGAAGAAAGAGAAGGGGAAGCAAGGGGGATGAAAAGAAGAAAGAGAAGGAGAAGCAAAGGATGAAAAGAAGAAAGAGAAGGAGAAGGAAATGATGAAAAAGAAGAAAGAGAGGGGAAGCAAACGATGAAAAAGAAGAAAGAGAAGGAGAAGACAGATTGAAGAAAAAGAAGAAAGAGAAGGAGAAGCAAAAAAAAAAGAAGAAAGAGAGGGAGAAGCAAAAGATGAAAAAAGAAGAAAGAGAAGGAGAAGCAAAGGATGAAAAAGAAGAAAGAGAAGGAGAAGCAAAGGATGAAAAAGAAGAAAGAGGGGAAGCAAGGGATGAAAAAGAAGAAAGAGAGGGGAGAAGAAAAGAATAAAAAAGAAGAAGAAAGAGAAGGAGAAGCAAAGGATGAAAAAAGAAGAAAGAGAAGGAGAAGAAAAGGATGAAAAAGAAGAAAGAGAGGGAGAAGAAAAAGGATGAAAAAGAAGAAAGAGAAGGAGAAGAAAAGGATGAAAAAGAAGAAAGAGAGGAGAAGCAAAGGATGAAAAGAAGAAAGAGAAGAAGAAGAAAAGGATGAAAAGAAGAAGAAAGAGAAGGAAGAAGAAAAAGGAAAAAAAAGAAGAAAGAAGAGGGAGAAGCAAAGGATGAAAAAGAAGAAAAGAAGGAGAAGAAAAGGATAAAAAAAGAAGAAAGAGAAGGAGAAGAAAAAGGATGAAAAAAGAAGAAAAGAGGGGAAGCAAAGGATGAAAAAGAAGAAAGAGAAGGAGAAAGAAAGGATGAAAAAGAAGAAAGAGAAGGAGAAGGAAAGGAGGAAAAAAGAAGAAAAGAGAAGGAGAAGCAAAGGAAGAAAAAGAAGAAAGAGAAGGAGAAGAAGAAAAAAAGAAGAAAGAGAGGGAGAAGCAAAGGATGAAAAAGAAGAAAGAGAGGGAGAAGCAAAGGATGAAAAAGAAGAAAGAGAGGGAGAAGCAAAGGATGAAAAAGAAGAAAGAGAAGGAGAAGCAGAGGATAAAAAAGAAGAAAGAGAAGGAGAAGCAAAAGGAAAAAAAAGAAGAAAGAGAAGAAGGAGAAAAGAAGAAGGAGGAGGAAAAAGAAGAAAAGAAGAAGGAGAAGGAGAACGATGAAAAAGAAGAAAGAGAGGGAGAAGCAAAGGATGAAAAAGAAGAAAAGAAGGGGAAGCAAAGGATGAAAAAAGAAAGAGAAGGAAGAAGCAAAGGATGAAAAAGAAGAAAGAGAAGGAGAAGAAAAATGAAAAAGAAGAAAGAGAAGGGAGAAGCAAAGGAGAAAAAGAAGAAAAGAGAAGGGGAAGCAAAGGATGAAAAGAAGAAAGAGAAGGAGAAGCAAAGGATGAAAAAGAAGAAAGAGAAGGAGAAGCAAAGGATGAAAAAAGAAGAAAGAGAAGGAGAAGCAAGGATGAAAAAAAGAAGAAAGAGAAGGAGAAGAAAGGATGAAAAAAGAAGAAAGAGAGGGGAGAAGCAAAGGATGAAAAAGAAGAAAGAGGAGGAGACAAAGAGGATGAAAAAGAAGAAAGAGAAGGAGAAGCAAAAGGATGAAAAAGAAGAAAGAGAAGGAGAAGCAAAGGATGAAAAAGAAGAAAGAGAAGGAGAAGAGAGAAGGATGAAAAAGAAGAAAGAGAGGGGAGAAGCAAAAAGGAAGAAAAGAAGAAGAAGAAAGGAGAAGCAAAGGATGAAAAAGAAGAGAAGAGAAGGAGAAGCAAAGGATGAAAAAGAAGAAAGAGAGGGGGAAGCAAAGGATGAAAAGAAGAAAGAGAAGGAGAAGCAAAGGATGAAAAAGAAGAAAGAGAAGGAGAAGCAAAGGATGAAAAGAAGAAAGAGAGGGAGAATAAAAAGGATGAAAAAGAAGAAAGAGAAGGAGAAGCAAAAGGATGAAAAAGAAGAAAGAGAAGGAGAAGCAAAGGATGAAAAGAAGAAAGAGAAGAAGGAGAAGGAAAGGATGAAAAAAGAAGAAAGAGAAGGGGAAGCAAAGGATGAAAAAGAGAAAAAGAGAAGGAGAAGCAAAGGATGAAAAAAAAGAAGAAAAGAAGGGGAAGCAAAAAGGATGAAAAAGAAGAAAGAGAAGGAGAAGCAAAAGGAAAAAAAAAGAAGAAAGAGATGAAAAAAGAAGCAAAGGAGGAAAAAAGAAGAAAGAGAAGGAGAAGCAAAGGATGAAAAAAAGAAGAAGAAGGAGAAGAGAAGGATGAAAAAAGAAAGAGAGGAGAAAAAAGAAAAAAAGAAGAAAGAGAGGGGGAAGCAAGGGATGAAAAAAAGAAGAGAGAAGAAGCAAGGGGAAAAAGAAGAAAGAGAAGGAGAAGCAAGAGGCTAAAAAAGAAGAAAGAGAGGAAAAGGGAAAAAAAGAAGGAGGGAGAAAAGAAGAAGAAGAAGGAGAAGAAGCAGAAGAAAAAAAAAAGAAGAAAGAGAAGGAGAAGCAAAGGATGAAAAAGAAGAGGGGAGAGAGGGAGAAGAAAAGGATGAAAAGAAAAAAGAGAAAGAGGAGAAGAAACGATGAAAAAGAAGAAAGAGAGGAGAAGCAAAGGAAAGAAAAGAAGAAAGAGAAGGAGAAGCAGAGGATAAAAAGAAGAAGAGGAAGAAGGAGAAGCAAAAGATGAAAAAGAAGAAAGAGAAGAAGAAGAAATGAGAGAAAAAAGAAGAAAGAGAAGGAAGAAGCAAAGGATGAAAAAGAAGAAAGAGAAGGGGAAGCAAAGATGAAAAAGAAGAAAGAGAAGGAGAAGCAAAGGATGAAAAAGAAGAAAGAGAAGGAGAAGCAAATGAAAAAAAAGAAGAAAGAGAAGAAGAAGCAAGGGATGAAAAAAGAAGAAAAAGAAGAAAAAAAAAAGAAGAAAGAAGCAGAAGAAGAAAAAAAGAAAGAGAAGGAGAAGCAAAGGATGAAAAAGAAGAAAGAGAGGGGGAAGCAAAAGGATGAAAAAGAAGAAAGAGAAGGAGAAGCAAATGAAAAAAAAGAAGAAAAGAGAAGGAAGGGAAAAAAGAAAAGGAAGAAGAAGCAAAGGAAAAAGAAGAAAGAGAAGGAGATGCAAAGGAAAAAAGAAGAAGAAGAAGGAGAAGCAAAGGATGAAAAAGAAGAAAGAGAGGGGGAAGCAAAGGATGAAAAAGAAGAAAGAGAAGGAGAAGCAAAGGATGAAAAAGAAGAAAGAGAAGGAGAAGCAAAGGATAAAAAAGAAGAAAGAGAAGGAGAAGCAAAGGATGAAAAAGAAGAAAGAGAGGGGGAAGCAAAGGATGAAAAAGAAGAAAGAGAAGGAGAAGCAAAGGATGAAAAAGAAGAAGAGAAGAGAAGCAGGGGAAAAAGAAGAAAAAAGGAGGAAGAAAAACGATGAAAAAGAAGAAAGAGAAGGAAAAGAAAAAGAAGAAAAAAAAGAAGAAAGAGAAGGAGAAGCAGAGGATGAAAAAAAAGAAGGAGTTAGAGGGAGAAGCAAAAGGATGAAAAAAGAAGAAAGAAGAAGGAGAAGCAAAGGATGAAAAAGAAGAAAAGAGAGGGAGAAGCAAAGGATGAAAAAAAAGAAAGAAGAAAGAGAAGAAAAAAGAGAAGGAGAGGAGAAGCAGAGGCTGAAAAAGAAGAAAGAGAAGGAGAAGCAAAGGATGAAAAAGAAGAAAGAGAAGGAGAAGCAAAGGATGAAAAGAAGAAAGAGAAGGAGAAAAAGGATGAAAAAGAAGAAAGAGAAGGAGAAGCAAAGGATGAAAAAAGAAGAAAGAGAGGGGGAAGAAACAGATGAAAAAAAAGAAGAAAGAGAAGGAGAAGCAAGGATGAAAAGAAGAAAGAGAAGGAGAAGCAAAAGGAAAAAAAGAAGAAAAGAAGGGAAACAAAGGATGAAAAAGAAGAAAGAGAAGGAGAAGCAATGAAAAAAAGAAGAAGAAGAAGGAGAAGCAAAAGATGAAAAAGAAGAAAGAGAGGGGAAGCAAAGGATGAAAAGAAGAAAGAGAGGGGAAGCAATGAAAAAAAGAAAAGAAGTTAAAAGAAGGAAAAAAAGAAGAAAGAGAGAAAAGGATGAAAAAAAGAAAAAGAAGAGAAGAAAAGAAAAAGAAGAAAGAGGAGAAGCAAAGGATGAAAAAGAAGAAAGAGAGGGAAGAAAAGGAAGAAAAAGAAGAAAGAGAAGGAAAAGGATGAAAAAGAAGAAAAGAAGGGGGAAGAAAAGAAGAATGAAAAGAAGAAAGAGAAGGAAGAAGAAAAGGATGAAAAAGAAGAAAGAGAAGGAGAAGGAAAAGGAAAAAAAGAAGAAAGAGAAGGAGAAGCAAAGGATGAAAAGAAGAAAGAGAAGGAGAAGCAGAGGGAAAAAAAAAAAGAAGAAGAGAAGGAGAAGCAAATGATGAAAAAAGAAGAAAAGAAGGGGAAGCAAAGGATGAAAAGAAGAAAGAGAAGGAGAAGCAAAAGGATGAAAAGAAGAAAGAGAAGGAGAAGCAAAGGATGAAAAAGAAGAAAGAGAAGGAGAAGCAAAGGATGAAAAAGAAGAAAGAGAAGGAGAAGCAAAGGATGAAAAAGAAGAAAGAGAAGGAGAAGCAAAGGATGAAAAAGAAGAAAGAGAGGGAGAAGCAAAGGATGAAAAAGAAGAAAGGAGGGGAAGAAAGAGATGAAAGAAGAAAAAGAAAAAGAAGGAGAAAAAGAAGCAAAGGATGAAAAAGAAGAAGAAGAAGGAGATAAAGAAAAAAAGAAGAAAGAGAGAAGGGGAAGAAAAGGAAGAAAAAAGAAGAAAAAGAAGAAAAGAGAGGAGAAAAGGATGAAAAAGAAGAAAGAGAAGGAGAAGCAAAGGATGAAAAAGAAGAAAGAGAGGAAGAAGCAAAGGAAAAAAGAAGAAAGAGAAGGAGAAGAAGAGATGAAAAAAAAGAAGAAAGAGAAGGAAAAGCAAAGGAGAAAAAAAGAAGAAAGAGAAGGAGAAGCAAAGGATGAAAAAGAAGAAAGAGAGGGGAAGCAAAGGATGAAAAAGAAGAAAGAGAAGAAGCAAGGAGGATAAAAAGAAGAAAGAGAAGGAGAAGCAAAGGATGAAAAGAAAAAAGAAGAAGGAGAAGCAAAAGGATGAAAAAGAAGAAAGAGAGGGAGAAGCAAAAAGGATGAAAAAGAAGAAAGAGAAGGAGAAGCAAAGAATGAAAAAAGAAAGAAAGGAGAAGCAAAAAAAGAAGAAAGAGAAGGAGAAGCAAAGGATGAAAAAGAAGAAAGAGAGGAGAAAAAAGGATGAAAAAAGAAGAAAGAGAAGGAGAAGCAAAGGATGAAAAAGAAGAAAGAGAAAAGAAGATGAAAAGAAGAAAGAGAAGGAGAAGCAAAGATGAAAAAGAAGAAAGAGAAGGAGAAGCAAAGGATGAAAAAGAAGAAAGAGAAGGAGAAGCAAAGGATGAAAAAGAAGAAAGAGAAGGAGAAGCAAAGGATGAAAAAGAAGAAAGAGAAGGAGAAGCAAAGGATGAAAAAGAAGAAAAGAGAGAGGAGAATGAAAAGAAGAAAGAAAGGAGAAAAAAGAAGAAAGAGAAAAAGAAGAAAGGATGAAAAAGAAGAAAGAGAGGAGAAGCAAAGGATGAAAAAAAAGAAAAAGAAGGAGGAAAGCAAAGGATGAAAAAGAAGAAAGAGGGGGAGAAGAGAAGAAAAGAAGAAAAGGAAGCAAAAGGAAAAAGAAGAAAGAGAAGGAGAAGCAAAGATGAAAAAGAAGAAAGAGAAGGAGAAGAAAAGGAAAAAAAAGAAGAAAGAGAAGGAGAAGCAAAGATGAAAAAAAGAAAAAAGAAGAAAAGAAGAAAGAGAAGATGAAAAAGAAGAAAAGAGAAGGAGAAGCAAAGGATGAAAAAGAAGAAAGAGAAGGAGAAGCAAAAGGATGAAAAAAGAAGAAAGAGAAGGAGAAGCAAAGGATGAAAAAGAAGAAAGAGAAGGAGAAGCAAAGGATGAAAAAGAAGAAAAGAGAAGCAAAGAAGCAAAGGGAGAAGCAAAAAAAAAGAAAAAAGAAGGAGAAGCAAAGGATGAAAAAGAAGAAAAGAAGGGAAGGAAAAAGGATGAAAAGAAGAAAGAGAAGGAGAAGCAAAGGATGAAAAAGAAGAAAGAGAAGGAGAAGCAAAGGATGAAAAGAAGAAAGAGAAGGAGAAGAAAAGGATGAAAAAAGAAGAAAAGAAAAGAAGAAGAAAAGGATGAAAAAAAAGAAGAAAGAGAAGGAGATGAAAAAGATGAAAAAGAAGAATGAAGAAGAAGAAGCAAAGGATGAAAAGAAGAAAGAAGCAAAATTGAAAAAAAAGAAGAAAGAGAAGGAGAAGCAAAAGGATGAAAAAGAAGAAAGAGAAGGAGAAGCAAAGGATGAAAAAGAAGAAAGAGAAGGAGAAGAAAATGAAAAAGGATGAAAAAAAGAAGAAAGAGAAGGAGAAGCAAAGCAAGAGATGATGAAAAAAAGAAGAAAGAGAAGGAGAAGCAAAGGATGAAAAGAAGAAAAGAAGGAGAAGCAAAAGATGAAAAAGAAGAAAAGAAGGAGAAGCAAAGGATGAAAAGAAAAAGAAAGAAAGAAAAAGAAGAAAGAGAAGGAATTAAAAGGATGAAAAAGAAGAAAGAGAAGGAAAGGATGATGAAAAAGAAAAAGAGAAGGAGAAGAAAAGGATGAAAAGAAGAAAGAGAAGGAGATTGAAAAGGATGAAAAAAGAAGAAAGAGAAGGAGAAGCAAAAAGGATGAAAAAAGAAGAAAGAGAAGGAGAAAAAAAGGAAAAAAGAAGAAAGAGAGGGAGAAGCAAAGGATGAAAAAAGAAGAAAAGAAGAAGAAAAAAAGAAGAAAAGATGAAAAAGAAGAAAGAGAAGGAGAAGCAAATGAAAAAAAGAAGAAAGAGAAGGAGAAGAAAAGATGAAAAGAAGAAAGAGAGGGGGAAGCAAAGGATGAAAAAGAGGAAAGAGAGGGAGAAGCAAAGGATGAAAAAGAAGAAAGAGAAGGAGAAGAAAAAGAATGAAAAGAAGAAAAGAGAGGAGAAGCAAATGATGAAAAAAGAAGAAAGAGAAGGAGAAGAAAAGGATGAAAAAAGAAGAATGAAGAAGGAGAAGCAAAGATGAAAAAAAGAAAGAGAAGGAGAAGCAAAGGATGAAAAAAGAAGAAAGAGAAGGAGAAGAAAAAGATGAAAAAGAAGAAGAAAAAGAAGGAGAAGTTAAAGGATGAAAAAGAAAAAGAGAAGGAGAAGAAAAAGGATGAAAAAAGAAGAAGAAGAAGGGGAAGCAAAGGATGAAAAAAGAAGAAAGAGAAGGAGAATGCAAAAGAAGATGAAAAGAAGAAAGAGAAGGAGAAGCAAAGATGAAAAAAGAAGAAAGAGAGGGGGAAGCAAAGGATGAAAAAGAAGGAAAGAGAGGGAGAAGAAAAAGGATGAAAAAGAAGAAAGAGAAGGAGAAGCAAAGAATGAAAAAGAAGAAAGAGAGGGAGAAGCAAAGGATGAAAAAGAAGAAAGAGAAGGAGAAGCAAAGGATGAAAAAGAAGAAAGAGAAGGAGAAGCAAAGATGAAAAAGAAGAAAGAGAGGGGGAAGCAAAGGATGAAAAAGAGGAAAGAGAGGGAGAAGCAAAGGATGAAAAAGAAGAAAGAGAAGGAGAAGCAAAGAATGAAAAAGAAGAAAGAGAGGGAGAAGCAAAGATGAAAAAGAAGAAAGAGAAGGAGAAGCAAATGATGAAAAAGAAGAAAGAGAAGGAGAAGCAAAGGATGAAAAAGAAGAAAGAGAAGGAGAAGCAAAGATGAAAAAGAAGAAAGAGAAGGAGAAGCAAAGGATGAAAAAGAAGAAAGAGAAGGAGAAGCAAAGATGAAAAAGAAGAAAAGAAGGAGAAGCAAAGGATGAAAAAGAAGAAAGAGAAGGAGAAGCAAAGGATGAAAAGAAGAAAGAGAAGAGGGGAATAAAAAGGATGAAAAAAGAAGAAAGAGAAGGAGAAGAAAAAGAAAAGGATGAAAAAGAAGAAAGAGAAGGAGAAGCAAAGGATGAAAAGAAGAAAGAGAAGGAGAAGCAAAGGATGAAAAAGAAGAAAGAGAGGGAGAAGCAAAGGATGAAAAAGAAGAAAGAGAAGGAGAAGCAAAGGATGAAAAAGAAGAAAGAGAAAGAGAAGCAAAGGATGAAAAAGAAGAAAGAGAAGGAGAAGCTAAGGATGAAAAAGAAGAAAGAGAGGGAGAAGCAAAGAATGAAAAAGAAGAAAGAGAAGGAGAAGCAAAGGATGAAAAAGAAGAAAGAGAAGGAGAAGCAAAGGATGAAAAAGAAGGAGAAGCAGAGGATAAAAAAGAAGAAAGAGAAGGAGAAGCAAAGGATGAAAAAGAAGAAAGAGAGGGAGAAGCAAAGGATGAAAAAGAGGAAAGAGAGGGAGAAGCAAAGGATGAAAAAGAAGAAAGAGAAGGAGAAGCAAAGAATGAAAAAGAAGAAAGAGAGGGAGAAGCAAAGGATGAAAAAGAAGAAAGAGAAGGAGAAGCAAAGGATGAAAAAGAAGAAAGAGAAGGAGAAGCAAAGAATGAAAAAGAGGAAAGAGAGGGAGAAGCAAAGGATGAAAAAGAAGAAAGAGGAGGAGAAGCAAAATTTGAAAAATAAGAAAGAAAGGGGAGAACCAAAGAAGAAGACAAAAATGAAGGCGAGAAGCAAAGAGTCAAAAGCAGAAAGCGTAGAGAAAATGATGAAAAAGAAAGCGAAGCAAAAGATCTAGAATTAGAAAACAAACTGGAAGAGAAAGAAAGAAAGAAAGAAAGCAAATGTACTAGAGATGAAAAAGAAAAAGAAGAAAGAGAAGAAAGAGGAAGGGAAAAGCCGAAAAAGTGAAGAAGATGAGGTGATGAGAAGAAGAAATAAGAGAGGACAAGAAGGAATAGTAGAATAAAAGAAGAAACATGAACTGAAGAGAAGAAAGAGTAAAAGAGGAGGAGAAAGAGATGAATAGACGGAGAAAGAAGAGAGAGAAGAGAACAACAAAAAGGAGAAGTGATGCTGAAGAGAAGACAGAGAAGGAAAATGAGGGTAAGTGAAGAAGAGACAGAAAGACTACAGAAGAAGAAGAAGAAGAACGAGGAGGAGGAGGAGAAGGAGGAGGAGGAGGAAGAAGAAGAAGAAGAAGAAGACTACAGAAGAAGAAGAACGAGGAGGAGGAGGAGGAAGAAGAAGAAGAAGAACGATGAGGAGGAGGAGGAGGAAGAAGAACGATGAGGAGGAGGAGGAGGAAGAAGAAGAAGAAGAAGAAAAAGAAGAAGAAGAACGAGGAGGAGGAGGAGGAGGAGGAAGAAGAAGAAGAAGAAGAAGATAAAGAAGAAGAACGATGAGGAGGAGGAGGAGTAGCAGGAGGAGGAGGAAGAAGAACGATGAGGAGGAAGAAGAAGAAGAAGAAGAAGAAGAAGAAGAAGAAGAAGAAGAAGAAGAAGAAGAAGAAAATATGTAAATGCATTCGAGTTAAAAAGTATTTAGAAAAGACGATTGCAAAAACACCTTTGTTCTCTGGGCACACCCAGCGCCTCTTGTCTGAATTCATTAAAGGCCATTAAGTGATGAACAGCAGAATTAATGAATAAAACAAAAATGGAAGAAGAATAAACAACAGACATAAATCTACTTATCAATATTTATTTTAAAATTATATATAAAAAGAAACTTTCCAATCTCTGGATTTTCCCACTTCTGACTGGGAACTGTAATGGACAATCCCGGGCCAATAAAACAGTGATGCAAATCAATTTGTCTCCATTTAAACGGCATGCGAAGATGACTCAGTATTTTGAGAAAATGTCGGTTATTTTCGTCAAATTTTAATCAATAAATAAAAGGCAAGGCAAAATTCTAAAAAAAAAAAAAATGTTATTAACAAAAAGGGTTTTAATTTTCGTGATTATAATTAATTATTGTATTACATGGTGGCTTTAAACTGTTTATTTTTTCCCGGTGATTGGCAGTTTTAAAAGCTACTAGAAAGAAGCAGTTTTGTCAAAAAATAAGCCCAAGTATCAAAATGTCATTCCTTAGAATATTTTCTTTCCTTTTTTCTTTTTTAAATAAGATTTGTCATTTTATTTTATTTTTAATAAGTTTTCCTTTCGCTTTCATTAAAAAAGTCTTAATTTTCTTTCTTTTGATTAATCGTAATTATTTCCTACTTTATTTTTCTTTATTTCTCGAAAATTCTTTCTTTCTTTCTTTCTTTCTTTCTTTCTTTCTTTCTTTCTTTGCATTCCATTTGATTTTGTGGAGGATTTTCTACGATTTTTAGGTTTGATATGTGTCTATTTTTTTAATAGGTTACATTTTAAAATTTTATTTATTAAGTAAAATAACGAACAATCGTCGTTAGTACGTCATTATCTATCTATCTATCTATCTATCTATCTATCTATCTATCTATATATGTCAGTCTGAAAATACCTTTTATTTTCTTTCTTATTTTTGAAAAAAAAAAACTCTTTCTTTCGTAACAACCCTGCTTTTTACTCTTCATTTCTTTCTTTATTTCTTTCTTTCTTAACAACTTTGTTTTTTATTTTTCATTTCTTTCTTTCTTTTTTCATTCTTTCTTAACAACTTTTTGTTTTTTATTCTTTTTTTCTTTCTTTCTTTCTTTCTTTCTTTCTTTCTTTCATTGGTAGTCAGGACAAGAATGTATTTGTAAAATCCTGCAACCCGAACACACTTTTTCAGATGCTTCTTTCATTTTCTTCTCATTCATTTTCATTCTACAACCTCTCTTTTCTCTTATTACAGTCCATTCCTCTATCAAAAAGACGTATAAACAATAATCGTTTTGCACCAACAAAATGGAGCATGGCGTATATAATCCAATATGGCGTATATAATCCAATAAAAGACATGAAAAACTGTGAGAGAAATAAACAATGTTGGATCGTCATCTTTTCGGGGAAAGAAATATCATGAAAAATTCACTCAGAATGGTTAACGAGCTTTTCTGAGTGTGAATATCAATTTGTGTGAGGGGATAGCATGGTATGAAATAAGAGGGAATTCAAACAGAGATTTCTTCACAGAAACAAAAGGAAAGTTTGGAGAGATACTGTTGAGAAAGGACACGGCAAACAAAAACGAAGAATGAAGTTCGATCATTACTGGACGCCCCACACGTGGATCCTTGTGACAAAACTAAGCGAACGTTATTAAAATAGCAATAATAGCTTCCAAGGCATGCATTTTAAAACATTGTACCAATGCAGGTAGAGTTGAATATAAATAGAGAGAGGGAGTCTTTGCGTCTTCCCCGTACACGAGCACACACACACACACACACACACACACACACACACACACACACACAGAGAGAGAGAGAAAAGGAAGAAACAAAAAAAAGAAACTTAGTAAATACAGATGTCCATAAAGTTCGTGTGCACTTTAAAAAATTTATAACTTTATTTGTATTTGCGATAGAAATAATCTGTAAAAAATGTTATAAAGTTTAATGTACCTAGTTTTAAGTAGAGCTAAAATAACTAATGTGATTTCAGGCATTACTGTAAATCAGTTGGCAAATGTTTTCCGTGAACTGGAAAATCTTATTACTTTTTGTATTGCTAATGATGGAGGACATGTAGAAACTTAAATAAAATTCCAATCAAACCATAAAAAACATAGATTTACTTCTTTCTAATCCTTTTTACAAATTATTTCTATAGCAAATACAAATAAAGTTATAAAATTTTTAAAGTGCACACGAACTTTATGGACACCCAGTATTTACCTGGGCACCTCGAGACGGTGTCATGGTTAGCAAGCTTGTCTCGCTAGAACAATTACGACTGAGTTGTGAGTTCGAACCTCAATGGGTGTCACATACTTTCGGTCGTGTGCCACAGCTAAGCTACACTTGGAAAATCACTAGTAAATATTTACCTCAAAACATGACGCCCAGTGTTTCAGTAAAAGTTAATCGGATGGACCCTGAGACTGACTCACTTGCCTATACACTATCCACAGATCTTTCTTGGTAAATTTCACATGTTTCAGAATTACATGTGTAACAAAGGATTAATGGTAAGCAAAAAATGGCTAGTACAAAGTTGCTCCTGTGAATAGCCTTATTCTATATGCGTGAGTGACTGCGTGTGTACGGATGAGGTTCCATACTGACACACTATTCCTAGATATTTTGCTTAAATTTCCCAATTTAAGAAATCTTTGTATAAGTCAGCAATGATGAGCAACAAATAGCCAGTAAAAAAATCGCTTGTATGAACAACCTATTTCTATTTACATGTGAAACTGTATAAACATGGAGTTTGATCACTTGTCAATACATAATTTCAGGATACTTGCGCAAATTTGCCTATCACGGAAGTACTTGAATATATCCAGGATGCAATAACTGTAGAATAATCAATGGCTTGTAGGTAAGACGTGCGTTGCAGAAGTCTTGAGATCTTTTCAGGGCAGACGTTTATTAATTTCAAAGAAGTGCATTACACTAACTTCCTTCAAAGTCGGATCCTCTGACTTCATTGCTCTTGTTCTAGAACCTCCCCCCCCCTCAGCCAGCTATTTCTTGAAGGCCCCATGGCAGACATTCAATGTGAAGGTGGTCAGGATCCTTGTCACATCCTCCTTAATTTTCTCAATATACGCACATAAGGAAATATATATATATATATATATATATATATATATATATATATGTAAGCAAATATATGGATATAGATCCGACAGTATGAAGAAAAATATATAAAAAAAACAAAAATCTTTATATACAATTATGATGTTTTAATGTCCGACGTTGACATATTAACATTAAAACAGCATAATTGTATATATGATTTTTGTTTGTATATATATATATATATATATATATATATATATATATATATATATATATATATATATATATTTGTTTGTATATATATATATATATATATATATATATATATATATATATATATTGTTTGTAAATATATATATATATATATATATATATATATATATATGAATACATCCAGCTCTAACCTTTAATAACAACTTAAAAGAGACTGTTTTGCCAACACAAGGTCTGACCAAAATCCATATTAAAAAAAAAAAAAACAAAGAAATGAAAACTACAGACAAAAGTTCATTTTCTCCATCAAGACATTCATTTCTGTAGTTTACTGCTACCAGAAAGCAGAGTTATTTTTCTCTTGATGATGGTCATGTTAGCCGAAACTAGTCGAGGAATCTAAATGCAATAATAATACAAACGAGAGAATATTAATATGCGACCCAGTGTGTCTGAAAATTTTAATTTTTTAATACTTTTTATTGTTCATTATATATATATATATATATATATATATATATATATATATATACATATATATATATATATTCTGCATTTCTTGAAGGCCCCATGGAAGACATTCAATGTGAAGGTGTTCAAGATCCTTGTCACAGCCTGATTAATCTTCTCAGTGTCTTCAAAATGATTCTGCTATCCCTTCACACAAACTAATAGTCACACGAAGACAAGCTCGTTAACCATTACACTATGCTGAGCGAATTTTTCTTTTCCCGAAAAGATGGACCCTGAGATTCTTCTTCAGTTCGTGGAACAACCAAACGTCACAGGGAGCAAGGTCTCAACTGTAGGGAGGGTGAAGGACAGTTGTGATGACCCTCAACCATCTCCCTGATGTCACCAACACGTCTTTCCTTCTGTTCGACACTGAGCACACCGGAAACAAACTTTGCGCATGTTCAGATCTTTTTCTCATTCTCTCTTCCCCTGCTCTTTCGTTTTGCTCCATCTATCTGACTCTCTGTTACTCTCCTTCTCTCACTTTCTTTGTTTTTTTCTTCACGCATTCTGATCTGTCTCTCTCCCCTGTTTCGTCCTCTCTTTCTTTCTCACTTACTCTCAATCTGCTTCTCTTAACTTCTCTCACTCTCTTCCTCCCTCCTCCCGTCATAATAATTCTGTGTACAATTTCAACACCAACTCATAAACCAAACTGTATACCTATTGTCTTTAGAGACACATGACTATCTTTATTTAGAAAATTGCGAAGTTTCTCTACCAGCTTTGATGTTCGGCCATCCACATCCACATTGTTATCGTCTCTCGCATCCTCTCCACCATCCTTGAACCTCTTGTGCAGGTGAAAATTTTAGGCTTAGCTCATACGAGTTAATCTATATGCAGTCTGGAGCATTTCATGCGTTTCTGTAGCAAGTTTAACACAAAACTTTATTGCATAGCGAGCTTCCAAATTGTCTTCATGTTCTGACCGCATTCTGCAAACGTGAAATGCACTGTTTAGTCGGGTGTGTTCAAAGAGCTTTTACAATCGTCTCCATGAGTCTGGAAGAACAAGAGATAGCAAGTGAACTTACAAGATGTATAGTAATTAATCCCTTGTGCAAATTAACTAAAACAAAACGAATAAATCCGTTATTATTTGCATTTTTGTAATTTTTCAATTAATCATGACTTCGTATGTCCATTCCACGATGCCGTTCCTTGCAGATTGACCACAGATTCTCGATTGGATTTAAATCAGGAGAATTTCCAGTCCAGTCTATAGTACTTTGATTTGGTCAATGCTAAGGCTTGCCAGTGTGTTCGTGCGGCATTAGAAAACTAAAGCGGTTGTTTCAATTAATTTACACAAGGATGTAAAAGATTCTATTTGTTCTCTTAGCTATGTCCTAACTGCCTTTATCACGTCATCATAATCATTAGAAAAATTGAAAATACAACTCAGATAAAGTAACATACACCGTTGTACAAATTAATTGAAACAAAACGAATAATTCCGTTATTATTTACTTTGTTTCGTATTTTTCCAATGAAACATGACCCACTGTACATGTCAGTACTTCGTATGTCCATTCCACAAGAACGTTCTTTGCAGATTGACCACAGATTCACGATTGGACTTAAATCAGGAGCGTTTCAGGTCCAGTCTGTAGTACTTTGATTTACTCACTTGTGAGGCTTGCCATTCTGTTCGTGCAGTGTTACAATTTTCGTACGCTTCCTTGGAGTAACATACATCGCAAACAGTGGCTGTAGGACAACTAATCGAAAGTCAGGAAAATAGTGACTGGGCGTGATAAAAATCTGATGTAATCACGGATGACGCAATATTTTTCAAAGCCAAGCATATTTCATCACGTACACCGGAAATAGATTCATATTACTGTACACCACTGCAAATAGAAATCGATTTCCCCCTGTCACTCCAGTGGGTCTAAAACTGACTGTATGGTGAAGGAAAGGAAACTAAAGCGGTTGTTTCAATTAATTTGCACAAAGATGTATATACTAAAACTACAATAATTTAGGTAAGTTATAATTGCCTCTCCAAAAGATATCTCAAACCCTCTTGAATAGACTTCGCATGTTGTCAAAATAATTGTTAATGGATCTCTCCTCTCAATGATATTAAACAAGAATAACCTATTCCCGCTGTTGAACAAACATAATCGTATTGCCATCCATATATATGATTTTTGAATCTTTTTGTTTTAATGTTAACAGTTTTCCTTTCATAAAACCATAAGAAGTTTGAGTTTGTTATCACTTTTGGCGTTTACTACCTTTTTCTTTCTGTTTCAATTTTACACACACACAAAATATATACTTGAAACTATTGAACACTGAGACCAGATCTCATTCATTTATTATTCTTTTGTTCGGTTTGACGGATTTCTTGATGATATTTCTAGGAGAAAATTCGTCTTTCTTATAGTTGACATGTATTTGACTTTTGTAGATGTTAATGCTATTGTTTTTATCTGAATGTTCCGTATCGTTATTAGTTACTTTAGAAATAAATAGTCTAATCTGGTGGTCGATGAGGTAGTTAAGAAAACCATTGTTAACTAGCGTCTGTTTTACATCATTAAGTTCTTTAACAGTACACAAGAGGATGAATTCTCGAGTGATCTCTTTAGGAGATTGTTTATAACTGCTATTTTATATCTAAGTGGGCACTGACTCTTAAAATGAAAGTGGCAAGAGTTTCTACTAGTGTTTTTTTATATAATGAGGTAGTGAATGTATTATTGCTAAATTCTACGAGAACGTCTAAGAATGGGAATTCATTTTTTTGATTCACTTCATTGGTAAAATTAAGGACAGGTGTATTTTTTCGAAGGTTTTGAGATTATCAATTTCTTGTTTGTTTTTCGCTAAAATAAAAATATCGTGTACGCAATATAGGTTGCGTAAGGTCATTGAAAATACATTGAAGACAGTAAGGAAAACAAAAACATCTTCCAAAAAAATGAATGTATTGATACAAAATCAAGTACCCAGATTCAGTAACGCTTGGATTACATATTTATATGTGTAGATATTTTTATGTGTGCAGGCATGAAGTGCCATTTCGTCATTACATGAGTTCAAACGCATGTTCGGCTACACCACATTACGGTTTGTGCTCTGAGAGACACGGATATATCTGACAATGGGCCTTATATAGGTTCCGGGATGCGCATCGATAGTGATCTGCACCCTCGGTACACAATTACGGTCCCCTGGTGCTGTCCGAACGTGGTGGAGGATTTTTACGCTTCGCTGCAGGAGACACATCCCCGTTGGAGAATTCCAACTCATTCCTAACTTTACGCATGGAAGTCAAAACAGTGATCCAAGGTATAGGAAAAAATATATTTGCCAAAAAGCTTTCGCTGATCTATAATTAAACTTGGACAAAAGAAACACACACACACACACACACACACACATATATATATATATGTATATATATACAGGGTGGCAATAAAGTCACTATATAGTTACTTACTGTTGTGGTACGATCCACCTAATTTACATAGTGGAGTACCGACCATATAAATATGGGTTGGTACCGGAAGACGGGAAAAGAAGGAAGAAGAGATCGAATCGAGAGACTCTGCCTGACTGCGATTAAGTCAACCCATTCTGCAGGAACCGTCTTCCCAAGAATATACCAAAACTAACTGTAAATATTGTGTACCTTTTTCCTTGTTTCAATAGATTTTGTTTACGTACATTTTGTGTTGTATTATTATTATTCCATGCTTATCCAAGCTTCAAAACTTACAATAACATTTAAGACAAAGAAATTAATTAACAGTGCATAAATTCATTATTAAAATAGTTTTGCCTAATTCTGGTTAATAACAATAAAATGCCATGATAAACAATAGTAAATTAATTAGCGATACTGTTCGAACTGCAAGTCACCTGCTTTAATTCGCTATTTACATTGCTCGGACTATCATCCTCATCTTTGTTGCCATATTTATCACAACGTTTCGACCGATGTACGCTCCGGCCTTCTTCAGGTGGTTGAAATGTCGAACTGAACGCTTTATTTCGCTCGCTGGGGTAGACTGTTCTAGTTCCACATGCCATGTCTGATGGATGTCAGTTATCAGTTATCTCCTGTTAATTCCCCTCTGCAAGTTCTCTTGGTAAAAAAATGGTTGCTGAAGACATTAGGTTTATAAGTCCCGGAAATTCAAGCACAGATGCCATCAAGGACATATAGCACAGTGGATAGTTAGATCCAGTGACAGGACCCAAAGAGTGTGAGTTCAATACCTGGTTAAGGCGGTGGAGAACTTGGAGAGGTGAATTAACAGGAGATAACTGACATCCATTAGACATGGCACGTAGAACTAGTCTACTCCAGCGAGCGAAATAAAGGGTTCAGTTCGACATTCCAACTATCGGAAGAAGGCCGGAGCGTACATCGGCCAAAACATTGTTATAACTATGGCAACAAAGATGAGGATGATAGTCCTACCAATAGTGAACTGAGAGTGTAAACGAGAAGTATTAAGTATGGGAAGCTAGATTGGATTTAAACATTTCGTCCTTCAATGATATATGTTATTAATCTTATCAGACAATATCAAAGGAACTTAAAATAAAAAGATAAAACTTGTTTATATTATTTAATGAAACAAGCATCAATGAAAAATTGCTGCCTAAATATACACAATATATATATATATATATATATATATATATATCGACACTGGTAGAAGCGACTTCCACTTTAATTTTAAGAGTCAATGCCCACTTAGATATAAAATAGCAGTTATAAAAATTATCCTAAAGACAACACTCGAGCATTCATCCTCTCGTTCGCACTAATAATGATGTAAAAAACGACGCTAGTTAACAATGGTTTTCCAAACTACCTCATCGACCACCAGAAAGAGTATTTCTTTCTAAAGTGACTAATAACGATACTGAACATACACAATAACATTAACATCTACAAAAGCCAAATACTTGTCAGCTATAAGAATGACGAATTTTTTTTTAGAAATATCATAAAGAAATACAAAACCTCAGTCAAACTGAACAAAAAATTGTAAACAGCTAAATTTATCATAAAAAATAACACACCCTCAAAATCAAAACTACTGAGAACCAACATTATTTGCGAGTTCAAGTATCTCTTCAGGAACGGTGTTCCTGATAAAACCAAAATCATAAATAATTATATAGGTCAGACTACTACATGCCTATCTAGACGACTTACAGTACGTCTACTCGACCATAGCTACATTATGACTCATTTAACCACATCTCCAAATCTACCAGATTAAATTCGAAACATACTAGTAGAAAATACAAGTATAATAGTCTCATCCACATGTAGAAAAATGATTAAAAATTATCGAAGGCATCATACTAATAAAAAGGAAAATCTAACACTGAATAGCATTAAAAATAATTTCATAATACTTTAGATACATATATAAAGAACCCACATATATAGGTAAAAAATCGTGGTTGATAATGCCTAAAAGAGTAGCCGAAAGCGCCCGGAAATGCAGAACTTTTGGATATTTTCGACACGCTTTGTGTCCAGAAAAGAAACCACTTGTACAAATACAAGAAAAAATTAAAAAAAAAAGCTTAATCGCAGTACCTTGTTAGTCGTCTTTTGACGAAATATATATATATATATATATATATATATATATATATATATATATATATATATATTCTTCACCAGTAGCACGACTTGCAGTTACATACACAACGCATCAAACTCCGAGTCGTGTTACCGTTGTGGGATAATATGTATAATTATTAATATATAATTAATAGCTCTGTTATATTACATCGAGCACTATTTTATTAACACCAGCACTCAATGTGCGATAACATATATATATATATATATATATGGCCTGACGATTGCGTCTAGCAAGAAACACCATATCGCCTCTAACTTCACTTCAATGTTCACTCATATTTACACACGCTCTATCTCTTATATTGAGCACTTTATCCCATAAATATGACACACATTAAGAGTATATTTCTTCATATATATCAAGATAACTATAAACATGGCCAAAATGTGCTGACCGTGTTCGGAAAGTAAAAATTTCATGATACTTTAGATACATATATAAAGAACCCACATATATAGTTAAAAAATCGTGGTTGATAATGGCTAAAAGAATAGCCGAAAGCGCCCCGAAATGTAGAACTTTTGGATATTTTTGACATGCTTTGTCAGTATCGTTATTAGTCACTTTAGAAAGAAATACTCTATCTGGTGGTCGATGAGGTAGTTTGGAAACCATTGTTAATATATATATATATATATATATATATATATTCTTATTTATATATATATATATATATATATATATATATATATATATATATATATATAATCATTAATAATCCTCTCGAAGAACCTATAAAAAGATTTCTTAGACTGACTTATTCGATCGCGAAAATTATTTACCATTCATGTGACGATATATCAATATATATATAAAAAAAAATAAAGATATGCCAAACTTGGGATCTAGAAAATTGGGGAACACTGAAATGTCAAGATCCCATCCCTAAAATAGAAAGTGTATTCTATACGTAGATATATTGGGTCAGTCTTTTGTAAAGAGGTGAGTGGCAGTGGGACTTGTTTACGTGCAGACCAAAACAGTAAGGAGGAAACACACGCAGTTAGGAATAAATAGTACACGACTACTATTACTAATAATGGTAAATTTACGGGTTGCGGGTCATCAGTAAGGTGAAATGAAACGAACCGACAACAAACACATTATCGGAGAGGCACATTTCCAAGAATGCATGCGCACACACAGACACAGCCGCAGACAAACACACGAAATATGCACACACGTACGCGTTACTTTTATTCCGTCACCAGTGACGACCAATGTACGTCATTGGTTGTCATAGAGATCACACGATGGTCCGCCACCGCCTACCTTCATTATCTCACTCTGCCATTTTCATTTTCAGCCGACTGGTCTTCTTAGGACTTATACTTTTTCTTTCTTTCTTTCTTTCTTTCTTTCTTTCTTTCTTTGCATTCCTCTTAATTTTGTGAAGGCATTTCGATGATTATTTTTTTTACTTGATGTTTATCTATTTTCTTCATCCGTTCACATCTTTCATTTTGAAATTATATTCTTCCTTTAAGTGGAATGCCGAGCAATATCTATCTATCTATCTATCTATCTATCTATCTATCTATCTATCTATCTTAGTCTGTTTCTTTCTTTCTTTCTTTCTTTCTTTCTTTCTTTCTTTCTATCTCGGCCTGTTTTCATCTATCTATCTATCTATCTATCTATCTATCTATCTATCTATCTATCTATCTCAGTGGGTTTCTTTCGTTCTATCTATCTATCTATCTATCTATCTATCTCGTAATATCTGTATTCAGGTATATCTCACCCCGTTCATCTATCTATCTATCTATCTATCTATCTATCTATCTATCTCAGTCTCTTTCTTTCTTTCTTTCTTTCTTTCTTTCTCGTAATATATGTATTCAGATATATCTAGCCCCGTTCATATGTCTACATCTATCTATCTATCTATCTATCTATCTATCTATCTATCTATCTATCTATCTATCCTGGGTAGCAAAAAGAAAATCTCAAACGCTGCCTACGAAGTCAATTCATACAAAAATACATGAATCTATTCTTTGCCTTATTTGTTTAATGCATCTTACGTGTAAGATCAGCGATTAAAACCAGAAACAGTAAATAAATACATAACTGCGTCTGTGTATGTGTGTCTGTGTGTTTGCTTGTGTATTTACCTCTGTGTGTGTGTGTGTCTGCACGCATCTCTGCATGTGTGTGTGTCTGTGTGTGTCCGTGTAAATATATTTTTTTAGTTATTTCAACACACACATGCAAACACACACATTATAAATCCCGTAAAAAAAAAGGTCACGCTGTAAGAGAAGTCCTCGACAAAAAACATCTGGCACACAGTTTTAATCTCACCTTATTTAACAACGGAAATAATGTGCTAAAATTTTTTTTTAATAAAAAGACGCCAACTCGAATTCCAGCCACGTTACTTTCGCGGGGTTTAGAATAATCGCTACTGCTCTATAGATATCACGCAACTACATCTTAAAAGGCAATCATGTTGGGAAATGAACAAAACCTAACTGCAAATGGCCGAAAGTGCACGTGATAATAGACACTGCGGACAATTTTTACACTCCCTTACCCCAACCAAACGGTAAAATTTAAGAATACTAGAAAATCTCAGTAAGAGATTAATCAAATATTCCTTGTCTGTCATATGCAACGAAACAAAGAAAGGAAAAGCTACTGAAAATATACATTATATATCTATATCTAAATATTTTTTTCTATTTTATACACTTTTGGAAACATTTATTTTGTTTTTAGTCGTCAATTTATTTACAATTAAAATGTATTTTAATCGTGTTCCAATTTTCCCTCCTCATTCGCTATTTACAATTGTGTCATTGAGTATTTTGTTCTACGCGCCAACGTTCACCTTTTTATAAAGTGTTAGCCGAAAGTGTCTCTTAAAGGTAAGCCTATTTTCTTCTTCTGTGGCTATAGGTCATTATATATAAAGTCTATGTAAAGTCTTTCACCTATCTTGGTAGCAAAGTCAATGTTAAGTGGAACTTTAGATGATGAAATCATGCATCGGATTGCTAAGGCTACCAGTGCTTTTGGCAAACTTCGCCATCGCTTGTGGAATGAGCGAGGTATTCGACTGGATACGAAAATTCGGGTTTACAGAGCTGTTGTATTTGCCATCCTTTTGTACGGCTCAGAGTCGTAGACTCCATACAGGTACCATATACGCCAGCTGCATGTTTTCCATAAAAGCTGTCTGCGTGCAATCTGTGGAGTTAACCTTTAAGATAGGACATCTAACGTAGACCTGTTTAACAGGTGTAATATTGGAGGAATCGAGACTATTATCATACAGTCTCAGTTACGGTGGACTGGTCATGTCTTGAGAATGTCTGATGACAGGATACCCAATATCCTAATGTACATACAGGTAGATCAGGGCTACAGGAATATAGGACGTCCATGGCTAAGATACAAAGAAAAGCTGAAAAGCAACTTGTCAGTTGTCAATATAGCACATAACACCCTTGAGCGCTTAGCCTTGGGGCGGGTAGAATGGAGATCAACGTGTTTTAGTGGACTCAGCAATGTTCAATCTGCTTGTCTGAATGATCTTCAAGAAGCGAGAGCATGATCTAAAAGATCAGCCAATCTAACAGTGATCTCATCTCACAATCCTCACACTTGCTCCATATGTGGCCTCCTTTGTAAATCACTAGCGGGTCTTAAGTGCCACTTAAGATTATCGCACAAAATTTCATAACTGAATCAATTAAGCTGTCAGATCCTCATACATCGAAACCGACGGGAGATTCCATTATATATATATATATATATATATATATGATCGGATTTTATGTGGGGTATTGTCGGGTGTTTATATAAAGGACACACTACTACCTCACTGAGTAGATGTCTTATATGGCACCTGTCGCAGTATGATTAATAAACATTTATTAACTCATAACTTCCAAGAAAAATTCTAGTTGATAATACAAGTATCCTTTTCAGGTCACATAGCCTTACACAGCTCGTCATTAAGGAGACTCTACTTATTAAACTTAATTCTCTCACTATTAACTTTACACTATTTAGTAAAGGAGATGGCGTTTTAAAATGTTCTAAAAATAGAAGCCTTGCCCCGATCAACTGGCCGCTCACGGCACGTAAATGCTACGGAGCACACAAACCGCTCGAATTCCACACTGTAAAACTCATCCTTGATAATGGCTATATATATATATATATATATATATATATATATATTGATAAACAATAAAACCACCTCATATTGGGAATAAGCTTATTTCGGCAGACGAAAATATAAGTCGTCTTTCTTACCAACCCCAGTGTGGACGAAGTTCGTGTCAGAAAATTTCTTCAGAAAGATTTTTCTGACACAATCTCAGTCCACACCAGGGTTGATAAGACAGACCACTTATATTTTCGTCTACTGAAATATGGTTATTTCCCATATGAGGTGATTTTGGATTTTATTGTTTATTAATTATTTGCTCTGTAATAATAAATACATTGAGCTCTTTATGTGGATCAGTTTGAATATTTTATATTACGAGAATCCACTTGGATTATATACCAACGGATTGTTACATTTATTATCTCTCTCCCTCACACACTCTCTCTCCTTCTCTCTCTCTCTCTCTCTCTCTCTCTCTATATATATATATATATATATATATATATATATATGTGTGTAAACTTCATTCACGCAAATACCCAACGCAAATGAATAAATGCATCTCTTCACCATCTATATATTGAAAGGTAGGATAGTCGATGCTGTTTAGCCTTGGTTGGCAACTTGTCTAGAAGGACATCACAGTTGTCTCTGTATTTTGTTCTTCGAAAAAGTATGGCTGCTTATGTTCAAGACTTCAGCATTAAAAGGAATTCATATATGTGGTTAGCCTGACTGTTCAGTTATCGAAACTGAATTACTGGACACTCATACGTCGAAGACAAAGAGATGGTCCTTTTTTAAACAGAATGTCACTTCAGGATATAAGCGATCATGACACCCCGCAGTTATCTTAACTCTTATGTTCCCTGCGAATCCATTTAAAATCGTTTTTTACGTCTTATCAACCCTTTCCAGTTTAAATAAACCCATAAAATATTTTTAGATTGTAAATGTTTTGGGGGAGATAATAATGCTTTAGGGATACAAGTCTAATTATTTAACCCATAGCTAGTGGTAGAAGAGATGGATTGATACCTATCCTAAGTTTATTTTCCCGTAAGTGAATTAAATGAACCCAATTGGAATTGGAACTCGGCTTTACGATTAACAATTCCGTACGGACATTTAGGCTTACAGCACCTGGTATTCCCAAGGGGTCACCTAACAAGACACTAACCGGGGTCGATGTTGCTTAACTGACGGTCTTAGTCTATATATCAATTCCTAGAAGTCAGTAGAATTTTCGAGATTTTTAAGGGGCAGAATTGTTGGAGAAAAAGGTGGACCCCGATGCCGAATTGAAAAAAAAGAAAAGAAAAAAGAAAATAAAGAAAGAAAACTAAATAAACCTCTTTTGGGGTCGATGTTGCTTAACCTTCTTATTTATGTGAATTGGGCTTCTCAACCCTAAATAACCCTAAAATCAAAAATAAGAAGCGAGAAAGACTACACCCAACTGAAGAGGAAATGAGGGTCTGCTTATCTCACATTCGACCAAACATTGAAGAAATCTCGCAACTAAGCACTAACGGGGATCGATATTGCTTAACTGATGGTCTTAGTCTATATACCAATTCCTAGAGCGTCAGTAGAATTGTCAAGATATTTAAGGGGCAGAATTGTTGGATAAAAAGGAGGACCCAGATGCCGATTTTTTTTAAAAAAGCGAAAGAAAACTAAATAAACCTCTTCCGGAGTCGATGTTGCCTTACCTTGGTGATCGTCAGGGAACCTATGTTTCAACGTGATGTGGCCGTAACACTTATGGCATTTCAACTGAAACATTGTAAAAAGAATATATAAGGCAAAAAAATCAGTTGCAATGAACGTTTTTGTTCTTAGAGATATAAAGTATTTGTTCCTGTAGATCTTCGTAAATCTGTCGCGAAATATTGTGATTAAAAGATCAAACATGGAAGAAATCGTGAAAAAACACCAGACACAGTTTTCACACTAAATAATCTGCACAGATAGAAACATTGAAAATAAAGTAAGTTCATATTTGTGGGTGTATTTTTAAAAAATCTATGGTTTTATTTGATAACATTTAAATGTATTTGGGTAAGTGTGCCGTGATATTTGTATTTACTACGTGTGCCGTAGCTTTAAAAGGTTGAAAAACACTGCCCTAGAATAACTAAGTAACCACTATTAACCTTTTCTTCATATAATTGTATTCAAAATCCAAGGCATTAAAAATAAGTTCTAATAAAGGTTTTTGTTCTTAATAGATATAAACTATTTATTACTATAGAACTAGTGTATCGTCCGATCTTCTTAAGCCTGTCTTGAAATATTGTCATCAAAAGAAGAAATGAGGGTCTGCTTATCACACATCTGACCAAACATTGAAGAAATTGGGGGGAAAAAACGCCAGGCACAGGTTTTGACACTAAATTAGCTGCCCAAATAGTTGAATAGAAACATTAAAAAGGTTTTGGTTTGGTTTGGTTTGATTTGTTTTACGGCACATCAACCTCAATGGGTTATTTAATGCCGACAAAATTTTTATTGCTGGTAAAATGTTTTTCTTCAAAAGTCTATTTTTGGGAATATTTTTTCTTGAAGAAATCTATAGCTGGTCATATTTTTTCAAAGAATGTATAACTGTATTGCTGGTATTTTTTTAAATGTATTTCTGATAATAATTTTTCCTTCAAAAATTATTGCTGGTTTAAAAAGGTTGAGAAACACTGCTCTAGAATAACTAACCACTTTTAACCTTTTCTTCATATAATTGGATTCAACATTCTTTGTTTAATTTAAAGTTTTGAAAAAAATTATAGTGAATTATGAATTAATATTGTCGAGGTTTCCGAAATGCAACATTGAACATTGGACTTCATAATTTTCCAAATTTTATAAAATGAAATTTTATAAAATGAAAATGTTTCTATTTGTGTGTGTATTTCTTAAATCTTTGGTTTTATTTCATAAAATTTAAATGTATAGCCATTAAAAATTTTACTAAGTGTGCCGTGGCATTTTCATTTGCTCCTAGGTGTGACGTCATATTTTCATTTGTTCCTCGCTGTGTCATTGCTTAAAAAGGTTGAGAAACACTGTACTAATCTTTTGTTTGTTGTCGTATAGTGGGTCAACATTTTTGTTATGTCATCTTTTTCCTGCTGACTGACATCCATTTTAATAGTTGTTATTGAAAGTTTGAGTCCGTTGTTTGTGATTGTGTAGCGCCAGTACGCAGGGTTCAATTTAGAATGCTTGTTGTGATTTACATTTAATCCGATCAAATACTCTCCGGGCTGCATAACTTGTTCCATCAATTATCCACGCCTTAATACACTGATGCGTATCACAGCGACTTTAAACGGCCGGAGTATTAGGTATGAGAGTTCCAAACAAAGTGAACCAGCCAATCGGGTTAAAGATTTCGAATGGAAACATTAACTCTCCAATCTGGAGAAATCTGAAAGTTCATATTTGTGTGTGTGTGTGTGTTTTAATCTATGGTTTTATTTCATAACATATAAATGTATACCCTTTAAAAATATTGCTAAGTGTGCCGTGATATTTGTATTTACTCTTATGTGTGCCCTTGCTTAAAAAGTTTGACAAACACTGACCTAGAGGATTTTTTCCACACTTAAATTCCTGAAACAAACAAAAGCAGAAGCCTAGGTATATAAATTTCTCTACAGTTAAATCGGAGTTCGTGTAAACCTCAACAAGCGGTTAGGCATACCTAAATGAAAGGTGCCAGCTGCAACAAAAGAACTGTAGGCTAGAACAATGTGTGGGGTTCAGCGTACCCGGATTAAAGGAGAATTTAATACGGGATACCCTGCCCACAAAATACAACGCAAATTTCAAGAAGAAACAACACGATAAGGAACGTTTATAAAAAATAGAACATTGTATATTTATTATATTGTGAATAGGGTAAAAAGGATTAATGCTTTAGTTCGTTTAAGCAAAATTGTGATTTTGATGAAAAGGTCTGTGTTCGCTGTCTTTTAACAGAGTAGCAGAATAATGTCTGTTTCTTTTGTTTTTGTATAGTTGTAAAAATGAAAAAGAGGCGAGCAATTTAAGTTGAAAAAGATAGTGTGAATGAGGAATAAAGATAAAAGAAAAATGTACTTATGAATTGTTTTGGAGTCAGTTGTAAATTTGTTGTTGTTGTTGTTCTTTCCTACTCCACTTTCGGCTCTTTGTGTCGGTTTGAGTCAGTGATGAAATTTACTGTCAATCTTCTGTGATCTTTTGCGCCCTTCTCTGACTGACTGACTGACTGACTGACGATATTCAGTCACCCCCCCACGAGGGTGTCATGTGGCACAAGGCCTTTTTAACGTGGGCATTCCCGAGCCATTAGGCTCGGCCAAAAAATAGCCCATTTGAACCCGTATAAATGAGTTCTGGGCTGGTTTTATCTCCCCGAAGGAGACTCCGCCCTTCGGCGTAGCCTCCTTCGGGTTCCTCCCGCCCGTAGGAAGAGAGTTTAACCGAACAGTGACGTGTGGCGAAAGTTGTTGGCTGTTCCAGGTCAGCTTGGTCTAAAATTCGGAGCACTTAAATTTAAATGATTGTTAGAAAAAGTAAAAACCCATTTTAAGCCATAAAAGACACCCAACGATAGAAAACTGAAAAGCAGCACGATTAAAAAAAATATTAAATGCGAAACAAAACAAATGAAAAACAAATTTGGTTGAAACAAGAATCAATGTTTGTAAAAAACTAAGAAATCGACTAAATAAAATAGGATTTACAAACAGAAAACAATACAAACAAAAACCAACACAAATTAATAAAATACGCGCAATGGATGACTGATTCGTTTTTTACGACTTATCAACCCTATGCAAGCTATTTAAAGCCAGAAAATATTTTTTAGATTGTAAGAATATATTTTTGATATAATAAAGATCTCCCTATTTATCTTATAACTCTGGGGAGAAAAGATGGTTTCATACCTTTCCCAAGAGTATTTGCGCGTAGGTGAATAAAATGAACCCAACAGGAATTGGAACTCCGCTCTCCGATTAACCATTCACAGACGTTATCCATTCCAACATTGGTACATTCAATATCTCGTATATAATACCAGCCTTGGGCACTTCGATGTGGTGTAATGGTTAGAAAGCTGGTCTCGCTACAACCATTACAACTGAATGGTGAGTTCAATCCTCACTGGGTGACCCATGCTTTAGGCCTTGCGCCACATGTAAGCTACGCTTAGAAAATAATTTGGAGCACCTCGAGGTGGTGTAATGGTTAGCAAGCTTGTCTCGCTAGAACAATTACGACTGAATAGTGAGTTAGATCCTCACTGTGTGCCCTCTACTTTCTGCCTTGAGTCACATCAAAGCTACGATTAGAAAATCATTTGGGGCACCTCGAGATGGTGTAATGTTTAGCAAGTTTGTCTCGCTAGAACAATTACGACTGAATAGTGAGTTAGATCCTCTGCATTCGGCCTTGTGCCACATCTAAGCTACGCTTGGAAAATCACTATAATACCAGCCTGATATATAATACCAGATGCTTCAGTATATGGTATTCCGAAGGGGTTACCCATCTAGTTACTAATCAGGCTCGATGTTGATTAACTTCGGTGATCGTACGGGAATCGGTGTTTTAACGTGATGCGACCGTGAGCAAAATATAGGCTAAAAAGAAACACTCACGGACGATTGATTGAATGTGTTATTATGCAATGAATCAACATTCTGCTTTGTCCAATGTGATGCTGATTCCTAGTGTCGTCTTAGATGACATAGAAAATGACGGCTAAAAGAAGAAAACAAAACAAAAGCAAAAATCTCCAAAATTATTCCTGATATGGGGTTGCATATCCCTTAAAGGAACAGTGGACATGGCAGAAATCGTGAATGATTGTCTCATTTAAACATACTACTAGATTGGCATCTAGGTCCCTTTTACTGTTGAATTAGTTAGATATAACCGCCACTTCTACAACAGTGTATTTTATCGCACTTCCGGCCTTGCTTCCCTGATAACTACAATCTTTAAAAAATTAAATGGAACGTCAGCCAACATCTTTACTTTCCCTTTCTGTAATCTTCTGCATATTAGTGGCACTCCCGCCTTCCTTGGAGTAAAAAAAAAGTGTACGTATCGAAAGAACCGAAATCAAGAAGAAAAACTAGCGAATTTGTACTTACCCTGAAGAAATTAAATGTCCTTTAGGAGATTGTATCTCCAACGGAAGGAAAAAAAAAATATTTATGTTGATCCTGACTTGGCATTTCGACTTCAGTCACTTTCTCACGGACGTGATGTGGCTTCCCTCTGTCTTTTCTACAAATATTTTCATGGCAACTACTCTGACGAGCTTTTTTCCCTAGTGCACCGATTATGGGAATTTAAGCTTGTTACTAGATTGGCATCTAGGTCCCACCATTTTACTGTTGAAATAGTTAAATTTACCTGTCACTTCTACTCCAACAGTTTCTTTTCTCGCACTTCCTGCCCGTGGAACTCCTTCCCGATTACTTGCTTCCCTGATAACTACAATTTTCAAAAAAATTATATGAAACGGCAATCGCTATCTTCTGTTGACCTGAACCGGTTCATCTTTTATGTTTTTCTCCGCCCCCCTATACACAGTCTTTTCTCTCAGTTTTACACTTTGTAACCCCCTGCGTACTAGTTGCATTCCAGCATTGCTTGGGGGGGGGGAAATGATTAAAACAAGATCCCTCGATAGAAAAATGAGATTGTTGATGATGAAGTCATTTTTCAGAAAGATAATTCCTTTTGCTTCAGGGTAAAGGTGATGAAAGCTTTTCTTCAGGAAAGGCATATAAAATCTAAGGCATAGAGAATATTTAGCACCCATCCCCCTTCCACAACGGTTACATATTTCACAAGGCCGGGTTTAAGGTAGGTTCCCCGAGCCCGTAGGCTCGCCCCTCCAAAAAAAATGCCCGTAGAACACGTATAAACGGGATCGGGTTGGTCAACCTCCCCGAACGAGACTCTGCCCTTCGGCTGAGCCTCGTCCGCGTTCCTCTCTGCGCAGAGGCAGAGAGTTCGACCGTCTAGCCGAAAAAGGCATAGACAGCGAACAGCCTGTACCTGAATAGAATTGAAAATTTATAGTGAAAATTAAAAAAAATAATGCAAAACCAAAAACAAAAGGGTCAATGAGAAGGCACAATTCACCAAACAATTCTATTACCTTTTATTTTACATGAATATCGCTTGAAATTGCTGAAATTCATGCCTGGGAGAATTAATTTTGTCATAAAAGCGGGAGGAAGGTTAACTAAGAATTAATTGTAATTTTTTCGATGAATTCCATAATTCAATTTTATAAAACAATATCGTATTATTCCATAACATATTCCTCTGCATAGATTGAAAGAAAATTACACACTTAATTGAATTAATTTAATCTAGTTTAATTAAGTCATATTTTATGAAGATAGACAGTTCAATTATTAATTAAAAATGTTTTGAAACTTATATTTTATATACTACTAAGTCAAAGAACAAGGAGAGTAGTCTCTAAGTTTGCTAATGTCATCATTTTACATGAGTATTATATATATATATATATATATATATATATATATATATATATATATATATATATAGAATGCATAAAAGGTTAAAGGTCAGAGTTGGATCAAATCAAGAAACTGTAGTATTAAAAGTGCTCAATACAGGTGTGAAAAAATTAAATAAAAGTTAAAATATAATATAGAGCCTTAACTTTAAAAATCAAGAGGTCAGTTGAATTCGCTATCTTGGTTTCATCCTTACAATCAAAAAAAAAAAAAAAAAAAAAAAAAGAAAAAAAGGATGCCGTATCTTTGAAGCCAAGGTAGCGGATTCAACTGATCTCCTGATTTTTTTTAAGTATATATATATATATATATATATATATATATACTAAATCTGTCCCTATTTCTGAGATGAGGTATTATGTACTTTATTTACATTATTCGGACTATTGTCCTCATCTTCGTCGCCACATTTATCACAACGTTTCGGCCGTTGTACGCTCCGGCCTTCTTCAGGTGGTTGGAATGTCGAACTGAACAGTGGATAAAGGCGTTGGCTAGATCCAGTGACAGGACCCAAAGAGTGTGAGTTCAATACCCGGTTAAGGCAGTGGAGAACTTTCAGAGGGAAATTAACAGGAGATAACTGATAACTGACATCCATCATACATGGCACGTAGAACTAGAACAGTGAGCGAAATAAAGGGTTCAGTTCGACATTCCAACCACCTGAAGAAGGATATATAATTAAATGTTATGAAATAAAACCATAGATTTAAAAAAAATACACCCACAAATATGTGCTTACTTTATTTCAATGTTTCTATTTGTGGAACTTATTTAGTGTAAAACCTGTGTTTAGTGTTTATTTCGCTTTCTCGCTTCTTATTTTTGATGTCATTTAGGATTGAGAAGCCTAATTTACATAAATAAGAAGTAGAAAATTGCAATAAAACAGATAAAGCCTTTTATTAGCTAATTTAGGATGAAAAGCTTAATACTTATTCCTTTATTCAAATACTAACACTGTACCATTAATACTTCCACACAAATACACATACACCCCCCTCCAAGGACACACACACACATACATATATATATATATATATATATATGTGTGTGTGTGTGTGTGTGTGTGTATACAGCGTGTCCATATAGTCCGTGTGCGCTTTAAAAACTTTATAACGTTATTTGTATTTGTGATAGAAATAATCTGTATAAAATGTTATAAAGTTTAATGTACCTAGTTTTAAGTATAGCTAAAATAACTAACGTGATTTCAGGCATTACTGTAAATCAGTTGGCAAATGTTTTCCGTGAACTTCAAAATCGTATTACCCTTTGTATTGCTAATGATGGAGGACATGTGGAAATTTAAATAAAATTTCAATAAAACCTTAAAGAAATATAGATTTACTTCTTTCTAATCCTTTTTACAAATTATTTCTTACGCAAATACAAATAAAGTTATACATTTTTTAAAGTGCACACAAATTTTATGGACACCCTGTATATATTTGCATGTCGTGATAATATTCAGCGGCACACTTAAGAGGATCCCGCGGCACACAAGAAAGATTTTTTAATAAATTCCAAAAGATAATAGCTGCTCCGTCAATGAATGTCGAATGTTTCTTTAGAAGGAAACGGCTATTATTATCATTAGCATTATCATTAAGAGTGAAAACGGCTGCTGCCGGCTTTGCTCCCAAGTGGGAATCGGTAGGAATATCGATGCCAACGCATCCGACATTTGCGGGGGCTGGGCAATTTTTGTCCCCGGCCCGAGTGTAAGCTCTCGGTTTACCCACATTAATCCCGGTCTTGCGTCACATCTTGCCTCAGTGGGGAGACTGGGTAAATACTACCATTAAGAGGAAAACCGTGACAGATCAGCAGTGTTACAATTCGTGGCGCCAGAGAACGTTGCTGTCTAAAAAGTGACAACCGTTCTTGTCACGTTGTAAATATTTAACTAAATCCCTCCAGAGTAAACTCAGACATCTTCCCCGCCTTCCCGACAACCCTCGGAAAAAAAAATACAGTCGAGAAATGATATGTATTTTAACGTACCGCCATGTTGTTCTCGTTTATTCCTCTTATACTCTGTACTAAGTATTGTTTAACGAGCACTCCAAAACCGTCAAACACGTTTTGTCTCGGGAGGCAACAACGTATTCATTTACTTTTGGTCTGATGGCAGCATCATACCTATAGAATTTATGGCAGAAAGAACACACATTATGGAATTCTGAAAGGAAGTAAATTGTCTATGAGAATGTTCAGAAATTATTCACCAAAGTAAAGGAATCGTTAGTAGTTAAAAACATTAAATATTAATGTCTTGCTTACAGCCATATCACGTTGAAACACACCGGTTCTCGCATCATCACCGAAGTTAAGCAATGTCAACTCTGGTTAGTATCTAGATAGGTGACCGCTTGGGAATGCCAGGTACTAGATATGCAATGGATAACGACACGGGGATATTAATCGGATAGCCGAGTTCCAATTCCAGTTGGGTTCGTTAGTTACGCTTGCGCGCAAGTACCCTTGGCAAAGAAATTTATCGACATCTTTTTTCTCCAGCTTTGGGCGAATTATTTGTATCACAAGGTCATTATGATCTCCTCAAAAAAATTCTTACAATCTAAAAATATTTTATGGCTTTAAAAAATCCTGTAATGGGTTGATAAACCGTAAAAAACGAATCAGTTTATTATCTGTATATTACTAAGAGCCTTATGACCGTATTACTTTGAAACACCGTTTCCTGTACAATCACCTAAGTTAACCATTTGAGTCCTGCGTTTCTGAACAGTTTTAACCCGTTCTGCCTGAGCTCCCGAGTCAAAATTCGTAAATAATTGGTATGTAATGTTTCATGGTAGATATAAAAATAGTTACAAGTATTTATCCACTGTTCAATCAGTAGCTGGGCATTAAGTCATTTTTATCTACCACCATTCAACCGGAGTCTGGGCATTACGGCATTTTTCTCCACCACCGGTAAATCGGTGGTCAGGGTTTAAAGGATTAAGCATCACCTGACGCAACAATGGTGTGTCTTTGGAAAATATGAAGATTCGAAGTTCGGTCGCATCACCTGAT